TTGTTCCAAGTAACTGTTAAATTAAATTTATCACAAAAGAATTAAGTCTAATTATTAGTTAATATGTAATAATTAGTTTCAGAACATAATGACAACCTAATCAGATTCAGACATACTGTATAATTGGGCGTATTGCATTAAAACACAGGGCACAGGCTTGTTATCTCCTTTGTTTTCTAAATTACAGCTTTAGTTCAACTCTGGCTTCAGAGTAAGGTGACACCTTTGAAACATCACAAATGAACAGGCAGAGTGCCAAGAAATCTGCTTACTTTGAAACACAAGGAAAAGCTTAATCTTTTAACACTCTTATATCGGTGCTACTATAGTAAATGACACAGGTTTCCAATTAGAACTGGCTTGATTCTTTACAACTGCATTGACACTTACACACTGTATGTTTGGTTTAGGCAGAAAGAATTCCATGTTATCTCCTTTTCACACTCTGTAGTGTTGAAAATTTCCATCATTTTTATGTATTTCTTGACACAAAAGGTGTATGCTAAAAGGATGTCAGACATATGTACTGTATGAGTATTTATCTAAGCCAGTAGTTTCAGCCTCAAGTGTTGATAAGTTTATTATTATAACATTTTATTACTTAAAACACCCTAATATTGATAGATTTCTTTGATCATAATTTATAATTCATTCTGTATTGCTTTTTGTGATCTTTGTTTTAAATTAATGTGACTACATTATAAATTATAATTGTAATTCTCATTCTACTGTTTTAATTATTAAATTATATAGTCTTCCCCTATGAAAGTTATTACATATAGGTATGTTTATTACGTTAGCAAACATGTATGTTCAATAGTTGATAAACAACCCTATCAAAATTAGAGTGTTTTAAGTAGTCCATGCCCTCTTAAAATTATAGTGATTCTCATGCCATAGCTTCTTGAATGCTGCGTTTATGCAAGTGAACCACCACACGTGGCTATTTAATTATTAGATGAGTTATAAATAGAACATAGGGCAGTTCTATGGCTACCATTGATGACCCAATATCAGTCTCACCATTGCCTGTTTCCATGGCTTTATAAGAATCTCAGCACGGGGTGGGGATGTAAAGACATCTATCCACACCCTGCTTAAAACAAATAGAAAACAATATGATGACTCTGTAGACAATAAAGCAAAATCAGAGACATTGCAAACAAACAACCAACCAAACAAATAAAAACCGACTGCTGTCCTGTATCTAGTGTGCTTGCATTTTCTCAGGTTTTGTTCAGCCTGTACCAGTCTAGGCAATCTAGATGCAACAAGTCCAGAAGGGCAGAGATTCTTGTAAAGGAGCCAGCCCATGAGGGAAGGAATGAAGGCAATCCTGTGTAGATTTCAGAAATGTCAGTGCCAAAATACTGTGTAAAATGCCACAGAAATGTCAAAAAAGACCCAGACTTTTCCTTCCACTGGTCAGACTAAAGCCAGCAGAGCAAAGATTTAAATGAATGCTAAAGAAAGTAGCAACGTAAATTGAGGTAATTATTAAGTTTTAAAAATAATATTTTTATGAAATGACTCAGTTTCAACATCATAATATATACTGTATCCATGAAAGAGTTAAACATTTCTTTATATTCAGTGAACCAGAATAGTACAGCAAATTTCAAAGGGAAAAGGAAATAAGCAGATGTGAACCGGAAAACAACTCATATGTTTAATAAATTGCTGTTTGTTTAAAACTGTTCTTCTAGAAAAGCTTTATCTGTGGTGCAGGAGGTAGGAAAAGAACTACTTAAAGTGAGTGAACAAAGAGAAAAGCAGAGAAGAAAGACTGATGTAATAAAACAGAACAAGATTGAATTTTTAAAACAAAAATTAAATAATATCTACAGCAGAACAAAACAGTCACTGTGTGGGCTCTATAACATGGAATGGACTACTGGCTTGTCACTTAAATGAATGAAAAACAAATTAAATGAATTAATCTCCAGATATCTAATGCAGAAGTTTCAAAAGTATCTCATAGGCCTCTGAGATAATTTTAAAAGATGTCATACACATACCTCTGTGTGTGTGTGTGAGTGTGTGTGTGTGCGTGTGTGTGTTTGTGTGTGTGTGTACATGAGACTATGTGCACATGCATGTATACATAGCCACAGATGAAAAAGTGTTTAGGTGGGTGAATTATATCTTTAACTGACCCCAAACTATTCAAGCATTTTGACAACTCTAATACAATAGTTTGAAGAATCTCAGTACATCATGTTAGGGAAATTCAAATAAGCTCATATCTGGACACATTCTAATGGAATTGATAAATAATGAAGACAACACATACCCGCAAACTGAAAAAAGGGCATAAGCTTTTCCAAGGAAATGCAGAGAAAATCATAGAGATTTCTCTTTAGAAACATAGGCTAAAAGACATAGAAACTATCTCATTGAAGAAAAGTCAAAGGAAATTCACACCAAAACCAGAAAATCTGTTCAGGAACTGAGTGTTCTGGAAATCATCATGGTACACAATGTGAAAAGAAAGCTCAGTGGGACCGAACACACTTGGGATCCCAGCCCTCTCTAGGCAGATGTTTAAGGATTACCATGAGTTTCTGTTCATCTTGAACTGCAGAATGAGGCAGAGTCATATATACTAAACTATACAATAACACATACAAATGAAAAAGAAATGGAGAACAAATAGAAGCCAGGGTGAATAGATTTAGAACATTAAGGATACGGGCAGATCAAAAGGAGACTATGGTGTTCTCTTCAGGTCTTCAAATTACTTGTAACTGGTTAAGATGAATATTATAAGGCTTATATAATGTTGTAAATCAATATCACTGTAATGTATTCCTTAACAATATTCAAATATTAGCTAATAAAGAGGAGTAATTGGAATGTATAAAATTCAACAAATGTCAATATTTGGAATTTGATTAAAACATTGTAAGAAACAGTGATTGTTATATGTCTGTTTTAGAAAATATGAAATATATTAAATAATTTACCTAAGATGCCACATTAAAAACTTTATACGAAGAGTAAAGTGAATCTACATATTATAAAATTAGGGGAATAATAAAGATATGACAAACATCTTCAAAATAGAAAACAGAAACATAATAGATAATGTCAAATTAAAAAAAATAAAATTGACAATTTGTAAGAAGTTTATCATCAATCTTAGTAAATCTCCCAGAAAAATAAGGCATTTGTCAACTATGCACACAAATTGAAAACTAAAAAATAGTTCTCAAAGTAAACTGAAAATGAATAGTAGAATTTAACCTAAAATTGAATTTCCAAATCTTAAGGATGAATTATAGATGTTAAGATTCGTAGCAAGATCAAGTATGAAGCAAACTGTAGCAATAAAATTTCAGCATTATAAATTTCATAGATTGCAATCTGGCTATGAAAAAAGATTTTAAATATGCATGATAGATAAAATTATATGTGTACATGTCATTCTTTAACATCTAACTTCAAAAACAATAAGCATATTAAATAATTGGAGATATATAAATTCTATCCATATGATACCAATAGGAATTAGAGACTATATTGATGTACATGTAGGCACGACAGTGAGTGGTGAATGAAATATAAGCATGGCAAATCACACAGTAGGAGAAACTAAGCAAACCATATACTTCATAAACAAGTAAGAGCAAAGTACGTATGGGACTCAAGTAAGTCAACAGTTATCAACCTGGTTTAGGAATAGACAAATGACTACATCAGATATGTCTCTGAAGAAGACATGTAACTGAGGTTTGTGTATTATTAGTCATTCAAAACTTCTGTGGAGTTAATAGCTTTTTTGTTTTGTTTTGTTTTGTTTTTCGAGACAGGGTTCTTCTGTGTAGCTTTGGAGCCTATCCTGGCGCTCGCTCTGGAGACCAGGCTGGCCTCGAACTCACAGAGATCCACCTGCCTGTGCCTCCCAAGTTCTGGGATTAAACGCGTGCACCACCAACGCCCGGCTGAACTTGGTTATTTTTTGAAAGAAATTCACAATATGAGTTGTATCATGGCTAACAGGTATTATTACTTTCTGTTTATTTAATGTAGTGAAAATACCATGAAAAAAAATTTGTAAACAAGAGTACTTCAAACAGTTCAACTAAGACAGTTAATGTTCTTCAGGTGTCAGCTAGAATCCAGCATTCCTAATTTACATGTAATTGCTGAAAATGAAAATTACCTTACATTTCTTCTTCTTTAATAACACGAATATAAATATATTATATTATTCATTAAGCATGTAGTTATAGGATTACACATAGTCTTGAACTCACCTAGTCATGAAAAGCATTGACAGTTTCTAACTTTTTTTTGGGGGGGTTGAGACATGATTTATTTCTCTGTATTGCTTTGGAGGCTGTCCTGAAACTCGCTCTGTAGACCAGTCTGAAACTCACAGAGATCCACCTGCCTCTGCTCCCAAGTGCTGGGGTTAAAGGTGTGCGCCACCAATGCCTGGCCCCACAGTTTCTTTTTAATTACACTTTTAACAATAATAATTTACAGAAAATAAACACACTTTGATGAAGTATAACAATTGACAAATGTCACTGCATTTCATATATATAATGTTGATGCCAATTAAATCAACAAAATTCAGAAGCAATGAAAACACATCTCCGTATCTAGGACTCTAGCCTTCAAACACACACCTAAACACAGAGAAAGAGACATGGACATACACTCTGGCTCACGCAAACAAATACATGGTTTAAGAATTTGATTATCAAAAACAAGAATGGCTCAGTTGATCTAGCATTTTCCTTCAAATATTTCAAAGGATAATAGTCACTATTTTCTGGTAGTTCACTAAATAGAAATCACTGTGAAATGTACCGGGACTTCTACTAGGTATCTCTAATAGCTGACTGAATGGATATCCATCCTCCTAAAGCCATGCATGGAATAGTGAAAAGAAATGTACTAACTGTTCATTTCGGGTTTCCTATAAAAGTGGTAGTTTCTCGAACCGCCTCAAATAACCATAATTAGGATACACACTGGGTGTGACTTACATTCAATGTCCAGGTGCATGCTCCTCTGGTGGCCACCAATCCTGCTCGCGGCCTCACAGTCATATCGCCCTGAGTCGGATAGCTTCACATCTCTGATGTGCAGGGATGAGTGGCCACGCTGTCCTTTGACTTCTATACGGCCATCTGGGCTCTGTTCACAAACAGTCAGGGGGGGAAAAAGCCAGAGTTTACTTGTGTCGATGACAAGTGACACACAAATTCATCACGTTTGTTATGTCAGCATATGAATGAAAACAGGCCGATAACGCGTTTAAAAATCAAAGAGTACAGTTTCTGTGTTTGCTGCTTTATGGTATTTGTCTTCTCCTTTTACATGATCAGCTGCTCACAGGGCACTGACATCAACCCCTTTGAATTATCTTTTGGCTGTTATTTTTAATGGTTTTCTCCTTTTACTGAAAATAGTTTCTTTTCCCATATAACACATCCGGATACAGGTCTCCCTCCCTCCACTCCTCCCAGTTCGATTCTACAACCCCTGCCTCCTGGATCTGCTCCCTTTCTTTCTCTCCTTAGAAAAGAACAGGATTCTAAAAGATAACAATAAAACATGACAAAATAAAATATAATCATCTACAACAAACAAAAAACCACCGAAGCCGAACAAGGCAAATCAACAGAAGGAAAAGAGCCCAAGAGAAGGTATGAGAACCAGGCACCCTCTTTGTCACACACTAAGAGGTCCCATAAAATCACTAAACTGAAAGTTGTAACATACTCAGTGGACCTGCTGCAGACTTGTGGAGGCTGTGTGCTTGCTTCTTTGTCCTCCGTGTGGATGATTTCTTATGTGACTGAATTTAAAGTAAATGTCTATATATTTCTGAAATGTTATCATAATTTTGGTGTCATCAAACTTCAATTCATGTGAAAAATGCTTTTATCCAACATTAAATTGATTATGGGGCAGAGTAAGACTCACTTTTGTTTTGTAATTTTATCAATGTAGTTCTTACATTATCAGATGCTGACAGGTTACTTAGTCTTTCCTTCTACCAGAAAAAGCAATCTTCTCAAACAACTTTGATAATGACTTCTACACCAAAAATATACTTTCTCACTCACAAAAAGACAGTGTAGTTAGAGAAAATATGACATTCTCATGCCAAATTATTAAACTGTGGGAAAGAACAACAACAAAAAGAAAGAATTCATACAATATAAAAAGAATGAGAAAACCAAAATGTCAACTTATATATTTCCTACACAAGGTAACTAATTCATTCTCCACAACTGCACAGGGATCTCTTGACCCTTCAGGAGCAAGTGTTCATCTCTTATCCAGCAGAACTAGCTTTCCTTCAGTAAGCATTTCTTTCTCTTTGTTTTCAAGGTGCCCCAAATCCCCCAGTTTTCTCATGTTTTCCTGTGTCTGGCTACTCCTTAGACTGTCCATGCAGACCCTTGACTTTGGAGCAATCCCCAAATGCCTGTCTGCATTTCTTTTCTTTTCTTTTCTTTTCTTTTCTTTTCTTTTCTTTTCTTTTCTTTCCTTTTCTTTTCTTTCCTTTTCTTTTCTTTCCTTTTCTTTCCTTTCCTTTCCTTCCCTTCCCTTCCCTTCCCTTCCCTTCCCTTCCCTTCCCTTCCCTTTCCTTTCCTTTTCTTTTCTTTTCTGAATACCCCACTTAGGACGTCAAAGTCCTGCCACTATCTAAGCTGATAATTTCTCTCTATTTTCTCCTCCCGGGACCTCTCCTCACCAGGATCTCCAGAAGCAGGTATTTTACTTTAAGAACACAGGTATACGATATGCATCCCAATTGGTATGGTTTTTGCCTAGATTCTTCACTTTGTTTTCAGATAAAGTCCTCTGTGCAGCCCAGGCTGCCCTCAAATTTTCGGGGCTCCTTTATCTCTTATTTAGGGAATTAAACTGTTAATCGGCATGCCCACAATCATACAGGTCTCAAAGTATCTCCTTCAAATAACTCAGTGAGATCTGTTTTTTTCTTCCCATGTTAGGAACTTTTGGCATGCCCTGCACAGTATCCTATGCTTTGCCTTAGATAATTATTTGGAATTTAATTGATTGATGAATTTTCTAAAGCTGTCATCTTTCTTCGGCAGTAACTTTGTGTCAGTCAATCAGTCCGCTCTGTGCTCCAGCTCTCTGGCCTCGACTTGCCCCTCTATGAAAGATACTGATATGTGTCTCTTGATTTCAGAGGGAACAGGTACATTGTTAGATTGAATGCTACCCAAATAACTTTCAAACTCTGCAGAACGCACAGATGTGTTTCTTATGTTCTCTGACCAAAACCATATCAAATGCATAAAGTGTCTCTTGTGTTACTAGGAATATTTTTTATCAGCAGTATTTTATTTTCATAATAAATCCATGAATATTTCATCTCACCTTGGCTGTATAACTGCAAATATCATCACTTCCCAAGTAAACTCCAATCCCTCAGCCTGACACTTAAGGACCTCTGTGTGTTGTCACCTTTCTGTTCGAGCACATTTTACAATTTGAATACCATCAACTCAAATTATTTCAAATTACTTTTACTGTCCTGAATATCCTGAGCTTTCTCCGAATACTCTCACACCCTTGTCTCAAACTATGTCACCTTCATTGCTTCTAGCATCCATATTTACACAGCAAGATTCTCCTATCCATCTCTTAATTTATCCACAAAATTTCTTTACTATTCAAGAGAGTCTTGTGTGCCTGAAAAATGAGTACGACAGTTTTGACCTCTACATTTTGCTTGGGACCAATACTTTTACTAAACTATTTTTAAAATTCCAGACCCTCTAACACACAGTAAAACTATAATTGAATAAGTGTGAGACAATTTCAGGTTTGTTTTATGGCCATATACCACAAAATACTGTCTACAACAGAAAAAAAAAAATGCATTCTAATAATTTTGTAAACCAAATTAAGTCATTTACAAGCAGCTGAATAAAGAAACACGTATTGTTATTTGTTATCAAGTAAGAACTTGTATTGGAGTTTATTAGAATGCAGCAGGCAGTTATAGTGTTAATAACTGGTTGCTCACTTGTTGCTCTTCCAGGTGACCCAGCTTCAAGCCAAGGCCCATGTTGCTACTCACAACTGTCCATAACTGCAGTCTCAGGGGATCCATCACCCTCTAGTGGTCTCTGCAAGCACTGCATGCCCTTGGCACATAGTCACATGCAGGCCAAATACCAACACACTTTTAATACAACACAATAATTATTTTCCTTTAAAAGTCAGTATACAATATCTGTTCTGTTAAATAAAGTATTGTTTGTCAACATTATTTAAAAGGGAGTTTTAAGATATTAGTTGTTCCTAAAAAATAAATACACTCCCCCTTTTTTATAGCACAAAGCAGATTATATAGAATTTGACTTGGAAAAATCCTCTTAATGTATGCAAAGTTAACATCAATCTGTAGTAGAAATGCTGATTTTTAATATAGTTATAACAGTATAACAAACGCTTGATAAGTAAGAAAGACTTTTAAAAATATGTGCTTCGTTGAAAACAGAGTCATTTTCAGCTCTAACTAAGGCTTTGTAAAGTTCACTATGGGCATTAGACTAGAAGACCAAAGTCATTCCTTCTTATATCTGACATTCAAAAGGACATCTCTCTCTTTGTGCTACAAAAAGGCATTACACAAATCAGAAAGAAAATTCATTTATATCTTGGCTTTCTTTCAACACTGCCTGAAGATTCATTTAAGACATCTGATATTTGATTGTGACAGGTTAATGGGCATTTTAGCTGCCTATCTAGTACTTCCAGGTTCTACCACTGAATGAAGTAAGATGATTAGAAAGGGAAGTGTCTGCCTGAACATTGTCATTTCTGCCCTTCATAGAAATGAACTCCCTGCAGTTTGACTCAAAGTTTCTTCCTTTGCCTTTCTAGAAGGTCATTTAAGAGAGGCTTATTGTGTAACCATCCCATAGTTTTATAAAGCGATTATACATAGAGCTTGCTATTATTTCCATAATCTATTACAGAATACTGTCATCTAGATTTAGTTAAAAATCTCACACATTTTTACAAATTGTTACCACAAAACAATTGAAATTATAAGAAAGGACCCTTATCTACAAAAACCCTTATATTTATGTCATAAAATGACCTTGACCTTCATTACAAATTCAGAATCCATGTGTCACATGGAACACACTTGAGATGACAATTCTTCTTCTTTCCTCTTTGGTACCATATCTGTAAAAACCTAGTGCTTCTATTGTATTCCCAGTGGTTATTTATTTATTGTCAAGGAGTCATTGCAAAGCCTACTCTGACTTTGAACTGTTGTTTCTTCAGCTTCCAGGGTGCTCCTATTTCAGTTACTCAGTTTTCAAGAATTTGAGAGTTGGATGAAGCAAGTCACTGGCTCCATAACTCTGTAGTTTTCTTCACTTATCCTATGTTAAGCATGTTGTCCACATACAGTGCTAATCACAGATAGAGTAGGCTTTTTCCTTAGTGATATCCCAGCTTCAGGGAGAATATCTGAGTACCACAAAAATTAATTTTACCCTGGAGAACACCACAACTTCATTTAAGGATTACAGACAAATATGGTAGAATCAGACTGATGCTCACTGAACACCTAAAATGTGGGTTAAGTTCTTAAAATGATAACTTGATGGTGCTGAGAAAAGGATTTAAAGCAAATGTCTTAAGGGCATATAAGAGAAACAAAAGACCCTACTGGCGCACTTGGGAGTAAGGGGATGAGGGCAAATCTTCTGAGTCAGGCAGGTGAGAAGAGTGCCTGACCATAGAATGTAAGAAGACTGCAGAACACTGGGCCCAATTATACAACCCTGCTGCTAGCCTTGTTTCTAATACCATTGCATTCCTATTGATGTCACTTAAATTCGGTTTCAAATATTAAGACAAAAAAAAAAAAAAAAACAAAGCAGGATTGCTAAACACATCAGCAGGAACACACTCCCAAGCTCATTACAAAGGAATTGTCTAATTTTTAAGAATTATATGAATATTTCATTGACCAATCCTAGTGGTTGTACCATGATTTTAGCAGAAACATTCCCTTTGTTCTGTACAAGATTTCTCTGTACTATTAGCATTAATTTTCTTTTCCTCATGGCTCCATCCATGCATCATAATTTCATTCCTATTTTCATTTCATTAAATGACTTTTT